GAGTGAGCGACGACCTCTTGACGCAGAGGCGATCGATGGAACAGGTGTTCCGCAGGGGCCGCTGGGCCGTCACGTCGTCGATGCGGCGCTACGCGAAGGAGACGGCTCTTCTACGCGAGCTTCAGGGCGTAGCGGAGGACGTGTACGCGCTCGGCCACCTCGTGGAAGGGCGATTTTGCGAGCTGCTGGAGATGGGCTTCATCAAGAGCGGATGCCTCGCCCAGGTGCCCTCCCGGCTTGCGGAGGCGATGCAGCTGGGCGCCCCAGCGCGCGGCCGGCGGGCTCGGAGGAGGCCCGCAGCTGCGGCGCAGTGAGTGCTACGGGCGATGCCGTCCGACAGCACCTGAGGCGGCGGTTCAAGGAGGCAGTGCAGCGGGGCTCGCTTTGTCGCAGGCGCGTTGTGTTAGAGCTGTTCAGCGGTTCGGGCCACCTCACCGCCGCCGTGCGCCGACTCGGCCTTTCGGGTCTGGGGCTCGACATCAGGCAGGGGCCTCTCGAGGACCACCTCGATGCCACCTTTGAGGAGGTCATCGTCGGATGGCTCTGTAGCCACTCAGTCGCCGCTGTCTTCTAGGGGCGCCCTGCACCACCTGGTCGCGGGCCCTCAGGAGACCCCTGAGATCTCGCGACCGCCCCATGGGCCTCCATCAGTTGAGCACCTCCGAGAGAGCCCGCTTGCTGCAGGGCAACGCTTCTTTTGCTTTCACGTGCCGCATCATCAGACTGTGCGCTCGTCTTGGGATTCCTGTGATGCTGGAGAATCCAGCAGGCTCTGTGATGTGGTATGCGCGTTCGCTGTCTCGGCTCGTTCACTTACCTTGTGCGCGTAGTTGTGATCTTGACCAGTGCCAGTATGGTTCTCTTTGGTGAAATCGCACGAGGATCGTCTCTTGGCACGCTGGCCCTATAGAATCCTTATGCCGTGTGTGCCAAGGGAGACGCGGGCTGTGCTCACGCACGGCCAACAAGCACGTAATTCTGTCTGGCCAAAGCCTTGCTGGTTGTAAGTACACAGCCCTCGCAGCTGCATATCCAGCTGCCCTTGCCAATGCTCTCGCTAATGTAATCAAGCGCGCAGTGCTCAAGGCGCCACAGCAAGCAATGGCTAGCCTGGTCAGCAAGTAGCGTGTTTCCGAGACTTCTCGCCTCAGCATCGAAGTGCCTTTTTACTTTTCGGCCGCCTCTGCCACTCTGTCAGTTGCGGCCAGATCTTCCTTTGGGGTTCGGGAAGTCTCCTTCTGGTCGGACCTCTGTGCAGTCTGCTCCGTCGCCCAGCTGCTCGCCGGGAAGTTATCTCGTGGCAGTCTTTTACTGCCCTAGCCTGGCTCGCGCTCGACACATACAGTACAAAAAGTGACAGAGCCCCATCAGTCCTCAGGCTCTGTAGGAGGCTCGGAAGGTCTTTGTTCTGGTCCAGCTCTGGCGCTCGGAATCCTCGAGGCGGGCTGTCCAGTTTTGAAACGTGAAGCGGAGCCTGGTGGAGAGAGAGCGCCGCACTCATCTGTTGCCTGCCCCGCTGGCATCGGGCTCAAAGTGCACCCACCCACGTGCCGCCCTGGCTCCTTTTTCTCGCCCGTATATCTAACTTGCTGCTCTTCTCGGGGAAGTCTCCTTCTGGTCAGACCTCTGTGCAGTCTGCTCCGCCGCCCAGCTGCTCGCCGGGAAATTATCTCGTGGCAGTCTTTTACTGCCCTCGCCTGGCTCGCGCTCGACACATACAGTACAAAAGAAGTGACAGAGCCCCATCAGTCCTCAGGCTCTGTAAGAGGCTCGGAAGGTCTTTGTTCTGGTCCAGCTCTGGCGCTCGGAATCCTCGAGGCGGGCTATATATATATATATATATATATATAGGGCGGTCGCCTTCTAAGAAGCAGCCTCCTCGTAAGAAGCCTTCCCTCCTGCCGCTGCCCCCTTGTGCGCGCCGCCAACCTCGGTAGGCGGCGCCGATGCAAGTGTGTGGCGCCAGAGGTGCGGCTCACTAAGGCTCGCTAAGATAAGAAGACTGACGCCGAGGGGCTGCTCAGGAATGGACGGCCAAACCAAAAACAAAAGGCCCTATGGGCATCTGAAAAGCTGTCTCGGAAGCTTGGCAGGCGTCTACGGAGCTCCTCTGCAATCTGAGATGTGCGAGGGGCCCTTCCCTCTCTCTCAGTCGAGGCACAAACAATCGCATTGACATAAACTCCGCGCCAGGAAGGGGGACCCAGCGCCGATCCGAGAAAACCGAGCAAACTTCCGGAAGTTGAAGTACACCAAAAGGGAAAAACCGCACATACACAAATTATCGTCGATTCCACGGAACATGTGAAACATATGGCAAAGGAAGGAGAAGACAAACATCCAGAAAATATTGAAAATATTGGGAATCCCAGGACTTATGTATATTTATTTGTGTCTCCCTGGGCCCGCATGAGTTTCCCAGCGGGGGGAGGAGTTGGTTCAACGGGGGAAGCCTGGAGATCTCTCCGCGTCGCGAAGGAAAACGCTGCTGTGCGCAGTTGGCTTCCAGGGGTCTACGCGAGGCCCCAAGCCCAGCAACAAACGGCGTGGGATGAAACGTCCGATCCCACAGAGGTGTCTCGGACCTCTGTATGTCCGGGGGCGATGACCAGAGGGGGGGGGAGATCATAGCCAGGGCCATAATATCTCCCCATATTTCATGGCGCCTCTTCTTGTGTCAGAGGGTCTCCTGTCCCCGCCCCCTTGGCCGTGCACATGCCTCGGGTCATGATTTGCGACCCCCGCTTGGACACCACCGAGAATGTGCGACGATCCCTCCCCGTTTCAGGTGCTCTTCCAGCGTTTGTTTCAGGGTCAACGGTCGGGGGGGATAGGCGTATAGGGGGGATGCATCGACCCCCAGTCGGCCATTGATCTTTGATAGGGGCCCGATACTCCCAACCTGCCCAGGAACGTGTCGATTCATTATCAGAGGCCTATCGCCGATCTATCGGTGATGTATCGCCGATTCCACTTCGATGTGTCCCCCTTATGCCAGTCCCCTCGTTTCACTTCCCCTCATTATTCGTTTCCTCTTTCGGCGATGGATCTGGGCCGCTGGGGGCGCTGAGTGGTGGTCATCACGTGAGTCGGCATACGTTGGCCACGCGTAGAAGTGTTTTTTGGGCGGGTAAGGCTTCTTAGAAGCTTCCCCCCTGCTTCTTAGAAGGCGCGGGCCTTGTCTGTAGATGTGAGGCCGGTGCCTTCGAAGAACCAGCCTCCTTCTAAGGAGCCTCCTCCCGTCACCCTTGTGCGCGCCGCCAAGTTGAGAGGTGATCATTGCGTGGGTCGGCATGCGGTTCACATGCTCGAGTTCATGGTTTTTCTTGTGGGGGCTGTGGCCTCCCCCGCATGCCCCAGCGGGCTCCCCAGCGGAGCGCTCACGCTTCTGTAACATCTCATGCTGCGGCAACGATGTGCTCACATCGCGACATGCGCACGCGGGGGCGCGTGCGCGCGTGCAGCCCGCACGGTATTTCTTGACCGTGTTGGCGGGTGCGCGGTAGGGGGTTAATAATTTTGACATGCGCGCGTTCCTGGCCGCATGGCCGTTTGACGGAAGGGCAGCACAACAACGTTGATCTCTCATGGTTTAAGCGAACATGCACACAGACATTTTTTATGATTAGTTTTAGAAAGTTAGTTGTGGTGCATGTGAATCGTTGGAACCCTGGTTGTGAATGGGTTTTGACGTGCGCGCACGTGTGGTAGTTTTATTCGATGTGGACGCACTGAGAAGGAAGTCGCGCGCATCGTATTATTCGATGTGAGATCATCGAAAAGGCAGTTGCGAGATCTAAGGTGGTGTTCGCATTGAACTGTTTGACTGTTTGACATGTATAACAGGGGATGCCCAAAACACGGGGTCGGGCTGGTATACAATAGTGTGACAAATGGCATGAGTAACCGGCCAGAGCAACTATGAACGCCAGTATTCGGAGGGGTGCTTTCAATGACGATTTCGCCATCGGGATAGGGCACATTATTCTTTCGAGCAGGAAGCTAACTACGGACATTCATGCGCGACCACCTCATGCTCCAGCAAACATCCAACCCATCAGCCTGAAACTTGCTGGCAAAACCTAGAGACGGCAATACATATACGATCGACGCTCGTTGACAACTCCCAACAGGCGCAATGACGTACGGACCATGCCCATGCAGATCCGACTAGGGCAGAGGAGCGATGAGGACGAAGCCTCCGGCCACGACGGCGACGGTGATGATGATGATGAGCAAGCGACCTTGGCGTTACTTCAAGGTGTGCCGAAGAGGAAAAAAGCGCATGCTGGAGGCCGGGTGCGCTTGGGGTCCAGGCGGAATTCGCGCTGGCATTGGGGCATATCCCGGTGTTTGTACTGGTAGATCTCGCGGTGCTTGTTCGCGGTGCGCTTGGCGTGGATGCGCCAGTTGACCGTGCGCTCGGTCGTTATGCTGTGTTTGTTGAAGCTCGACTGCACCATGGGGCACTCCGTGGCAAAGTTGACATATGACGCCCTCGTCGGCGATCGGCGATGACGCAAGTCGAACGCCGAGGCAGGACCAGCCTCGGCGTTCGACTTGGTTTCGCGCGCCCGCGTGCCAAGAAGCATCTCGAGTGCGCCCACCAGCGCAGAAGCGTTGCCCAGGGCAGTTGCCTTGATCGCGGAGGTGCAGGAGCAAGAAGTGGGAGAGAGGAGGGCAGCCATCGAACCGCAGCTCGGAATCAGCCAGAGCAGACCTAGGATTCAGCTATGAATGCCTTCACGGATCTTTCGATATGGAAGCTTATTGGCACCTTCCTTGGGTTCGTTCGGGGTACTTCAGGAGGCCGTTGAAGTTATCTTGGAAACCTCTGGAGGTACTCTTGGGAGTCTTCCAGGGCCTCTCGGGATCATCCTATATGCGATCGAGCAAACAAGAAAGCGGACTCAATTATGGCCCTCCCGTCAGAGGCCTGTACACAGTTTTGGATTATGCTTCTTGACTTGGCCCTGCCCTTTCGCACTCGCCGAGCCGAGGAGTGCGACGTGGAGCTGTTCATGGTGCTTCCGAGGACTTTTGCGGGGCGCGCCTGAGGTCAGCCATGCTTACAGGTCAGGAGGGATACCTCTCTTGACCTCGGGCACTCATTTTGACTCCGACTCGACTCAATTCGATTTCGATGGCTTCCGCTTCCGATTCGATTCAATTTCGAATTCACATTTGGATTCCGATTTCCCAATCCATGGAAACCTAGTAGCCTGCAGATTTCCGCGAATTCGTCTTCTCCCGGCTCGGCTGCCGATTTCCGCCGATCCGATCATGTCGATCGCCGATCCGATTCGATTCTGGGCTCTCGTGGACCTCAGCCGACTCCCCCGCCTCTCCACCGAGCGGGCGTGCGCGCTGCAGCCCGACTTGCCACCGGATCCAGTGTCACTTCAGCGTGGACAGGCAGAGCGAACGCCGGTCCCCAGAGGAGGGTGTCGCACCAGCGCGCGGTCAGCGTCCAGCGAGTACAGTCAACCCGCATAGCAAGGATGAGCAACCAAGAGTACCCGCGCATCCTTGCCTCCTCGGTCCATCCTTCGCCGCTTTCGCTGGCCGCGCCCCTCTCGAAAAGCTTCCGAATGGGCGTCCAAGGCCCTTGCATCCTTATCGCGCATCCTTACTATCTGGGTTGACTGTAGATGGAAACTTTGATTTTCTATGCACGCGCAGGATGTTCTAAACACCCCAGGGATGTACTCCTTCAGCAGGCCCGGAGCAGTGCGAAGCTCATTGGATCGCCCGGGCGGGGCGGAGCTGAATCCTCAGTCTTGACAGCAGAAGCGTCTTCGCCTACGGTGGGTTCGCGCCGTGTCGACGCGTCGACGACCCCAGCGCGGGCATTCAAGGCTGAACGCCGTCAGTGGCCCGGAGTCGGCGGATATCTAACGAACCTCTCTCTCGGAGTGCCGCGATCGTTCAAGGCTGAACGATCCACGCGGCGCCATGAACCATCGCCGACGTCGCAAATACAAGAGCTCGCCGCACGCGCTAGCCCCCGACGACTTTAAGAACGCGGGGCGAATTGCCCGGTCGAGGTCCCGACCCAGATCTCCGAAGTCGTCATTATTTCACAACGTGGACCCCCCAAGGCATCGACCCTTTCCCAAGGACAAGTTTTTCATCCACCTCACAGTCGGCCCTGATAAGCAGTTCGACCCTGCCAAATGAAGGGTACCCTTGTGTCCTGGGTCTCGCGACCCATGCCTCCTACATTCCTGTGGCAGTGTGGTCCTGTGTCTCGGGGCCAATGGGCCCATGCCTCCTACACTCCTGTGGCAATGTGGCCCTCGGAAGGGTTTTGTGCCCTCGCGCGCAACCTCCCCGATCATGTCCGACCGCAGTTTTCGACGGCGCCGGGACCCGGCAGGAGGGCCTCCAGGGGTCGAACGTGGCCGAAGGCCTCGCTCTTCACGGCGGGAGGAGGTCCGGGGTGCCGAGGGGGCCGAAGGTCCAGGCTTTCCTCGCCCCCCTGACGGCCGGGCTGGACAGCAACGGCGAGCGGGGGCGTCGGGTGTTGCCAGAAGTGCCCCTGGCCCAAGGTGCCCCCAGCTTTTCGCTCCAATTTTGAACCCCTGGGGCCCTCTGGGCCTCGTGAGGGGTACCCTGGAGGCCGTCTGGGCCACCCCGAGAATCCTGGGGGTACCTTGGGCCAGGGGTACTTCTAGCAACACCCGAGAGGGGGAGGGGGGGGCAGCGAGAAGGCTTCGGATTCGAGGCCAGAGGTCTCGGGACGTGCTCGTCGGTGCTCGGCGGCTCTCCGGCCTCGGGGTGCGTTCCAGCAGCTGCGCTTCGCCGAGAGCGTTCCAGGGGCGCCCGGATCGTTCCGAACGGCCGCCTGGGATCCGAGCTATGACCCGAAGACCGAACTCGGCTGCGCGCCGAGGGGGGGGGTCAGAAGGAGGAGGCCTTCTCAGAAGGCGGCGGGACTTCTCAGAAGCCCTCGCGCCTTCTGAGAAGTGCTCTCCCTACGTCTTCGGGGAAGGATGTTTAAGACAATTTCCCAGGAGGCCGGGGGACTTCCGAGCCCTCTGAGCAGGCCCGCGCCTGCTCACATCCCCCCCGGGCGCGCCGCCGATGAGAGTCCCTGAATTCGGAAGGGGAAGAACATACAGACGCAATTCATCGTCGACTCCCAGTAGGGTATAGGAAAAGATGGGACATGGGGGGGAGACAGAAGCCAAGAAAAGAGGGGAAAACATGTGGGGATCCTCGGATTTGTGTGCATCTATGTGTGTGTGTGTGTGTATGTGAGTGTGTGTCCCTGGCCCCTTCACTGAAACGGACCACGGAGGAGGAGGAGGAAAAGGAGGAGGAGGAAGAGGAGGAGGAGGAGGAAGCAGAAGCAGAAGCAGAAACATAATAATACGAATAATAAGCATAAGCAGAATAATAAAACAAATCATAAGCAGAAACAGAAGCATAATACGAATAAGAATAATAATAAACATAATAATACGAATAATAATAATAATAATAGTAATAACAATAATAATCGTAATACTAATAATGATCATACTAAGCAGAATAATCATAATACGAATAAGAAGAAAAATAAGAATGATTAATAAGCATACTAATAATACGAACACGCATAAGCATAATAAGAAGAAGACAAACAATAATAATAATAATACTAATAATAATAATAATAATAATGAATAGAAGAGGAAGAAGAAGGAGGAGGAGGAGGAAGAGGAGGATGAAAATAAGAAGAGGACGAATAATCAGAAAAAGAAGCAGAAGAAGAAGAAGAAGAGGAGGAGGAGGAGGAGGAGGAGGAGGAGGTTGAGCGCGAGGAGGAAACGGAAGGAAAGGGGCCCGGGCCGCCGCCCCCGCCGCCGCCCCCGCCGCTGCCCTCGCCGCCGCCCCCGCCACCGACCTCCTGAGGGGGCCGGTGGACGGGGGGCCCTCCCAGGGCCCCCCGCGGCCGGCGCGGGCGCCGGTCCGCAGGGAGCGCTCGCCGAGTGCCCAGCCCCAGGGGTCCCACCGGAGTCG